TATGATTTGATACTCATTAAGAGAATCTTGTAAATGTCTTAATGAAGTATCAAAATTACAACAAAAATGTTCTTACAATCATCTCTGGCAATGAGTTCAGCTTTTTCACAAAGTCCTTCAACTCGGAAACTGTCTGTGTCTGGATGTTGTCATGGAAAGCAATATATTATAAAGTCTACAAATCTATTTTAATTTTCCCAATTATATAAAAGCTTTATAAAGTGCTTTTCAAATTTTTTCAACACATAATTTATTCAAGCTGTAGTTTTATAGCATCTATCAAACAAACATCCAACTTTAAAATTACCTCTGACCATAAAGTATAGCAGCAAAACTACTTGGAAAATTTAGTGTATTATAATTTCAAAGAAATAAAAGGAAACAACAGGACATCAGTGGATTCACTGCTATTACTTTCACATGAAAAGTTTGGTTACAAAAACAGATACTTTTGCAAAATTGGCAGTAAAATAAATGTCCGAGTAAAAGACCATCTACTTACAGTAGTTGTCATTTTTGTGTAGTCTTGCTTCATGGAAGTAGCTTTTTGACGTAAAAACTGCAATACTAACACAATCCATACAAGGAAATGTTATTTAAAGAAATACTATGAGCAAAAGGAAAATGAACAACAAAAGAAGTGTAAAGAAATGGAAAATGGATGTCTGAACTATGGCTAAAAAGAGGTTTCAGAGAAAAAGTCAGCCAAAGAAAATCAGCATAGAATCAATGACTAGAAAATCAGCTAAAAAGTCAAAAATCAGCCAAAAAGTCAGCAACCAAAGAGACAAACAACAAATCCAATTTTTTTTATCCCTTCACTAAAATTAAAAGTTCAGAAGATGTTTTACCTTTGAATGAAAATCTTCATTCCACACAATTTTTTTTCCATTGTCAAGAGAGCCATACACGAGAGTGTCCAAATTGTCCCCTTGAAGAATGCCCGGCAAGACACTCTGCAGCAAAATATATAGTTTGAAATCATGCAGAAATTTAATTGGGAACAAGGATTCATGGGTTTACAATTATAAAAAAAAAGTAGCAAATTCTATGTTTTCTTTTTTATTAAATATAGTATAAAATGCAGCAAACATCATGTGTGAATTAATTCAATGTAGAACTTAGATTTCTTAACCAATGTAGGATTACTAATAGCAACCATTGAAAATATATTTATATGTACATTAAGATTTAAATAAAGTATTAGCACTAAAAGTACTACACACTGCATGTTTATAACACCAAACAGAAATGCCTAATGCAAATTTTGGGCATGCTCTATCGCCATTTCAACACATTTGAGTGGCATTCTAGTTCTGTTTCATAATATCCCAAAGCTGTTTTGACAAGTTATCATACACTACAATCCAGCCCCAAACTCCAAGTAGGAATGGCCAAACTTTAACTCTAATACTAGGATCAACACCCTGCATCAAATTTAAAAATGAAATCAATTTCATAGAAAAACACCAAAACAACAAATTTAAAATCTAGATAAGCAAATTAGTAAACTCACTCCACTGCAAACTCTTTTCAAGAACTTAATTAAAAAAGTAAAATGGAGGGATATTAAGATTAAGATGCGTACCATCAACGCGCGAAGAGGGTCGGAAGCAGCGAAAATCTTGCGCTATGGTACAAATGGAGGAAATATCTGAAGATTTGAATCTAAAAAAGCAAACAAATTTGTAACTCACTAATTGGTAGCTAAAAAGCAAACAAATCCACCACACAAAAATTCGAATCGATGAAAATTTGGGATTAGGGTTTCACCTTTACAATCGGATTTGTGGTAGCGTTTCCCAATTATCAGATTGCCTTTTTCAAATTCTCTAAACAGATCAAACACATAATCCATTGCATCCATTTTCTGCCTCTCTCTTTCTCTAACTTTTATCCAGGATTTGAAGAAGAAGCGCCATATGAGGACTTCGAGATCAAATATAAGATGTTTCTTTCCATTCCTCGTGAGCCACTTATTTCTCCAAAACAAGAGAGAAAAGTGATTTTCCTCCTTTTTCCCAATAAGTCGACGGCGTTACACCATTGGGATACTGAGTTTGAATGTGAGAATCGAATTCTAAATATAATAATAATATTATGTTACGTTAATACATAAGATTTATAATTTTTATATTGATTTTTTCATTTTATTAAATAAAATAAAATAAAATAAATGTGTTGACAAATTAAGTTAGTGGAATGGAAAGACGTTACTCGAATGTGGATTAGGTGCCATAAAAGATAATTAAATTCTGGTGTTTAAAATCGCAAAAAATGTAGTAATTTGTGGCAGTTAATATAACTGCCACAAAAATAGCACTTTTTGGCGGTTTTCTAAAACCGCTAGAAAATGAACGCTAACAAACTTCGGTTTTTTTGTAGTGAGGGGGGGAGTGAGAAACCTCGCTCTGGGTGTGGGATTG